AAGGACACACATATATGCACGCACACATGCACGCACGCACACACGCAAAAGCATGCGCACATGCGTATGTGTGTATATACATATACATATATATAGAGAGAGAGAGAGAGAAAGAGAGAGATAGAGAGAGAGAGGGGGGAGGAGGGGAGAGAGACAGACAGATAGACAGACAGACAGACGGACAGACAGATAGAAAGATAGATCGATAGATAGACAAATGAATTAGATGCAGAATCATCCTCATGATGACGATGCCCCGAGTGCTTCCCACACACCCGTGTGTCCGTTATTCGTCAGATGGAATTCCATCGTCTGCGTCTTGAAGTATCCGTTGAACTTGAATTCTCCCAGCTTGGGGTTGTACTCTTCACCCTTAATGTCGATCGGTGATTGGTTTTCTCCTTTACAGTCCGGATAGCCAGTTGACCAGAGGTTCGTTTCTACACCAATGACAAGCACCACGGCAATGACAGGATAACATTTATGATTATAGTATATGATGGGGTAGGATGCTCTCACTGCTGTAGAATATCATATATTAAACTGTACTTCATATAGATGACTAATATATACATATATATATATATATAATATGTAATATATATAGGGTTAGGGTTAGCGTTAGGGTTAGTCAGAAATAGCTAAACGAGCCAGGTCAAACAGAGGTCAGGGGGACATAGACCCTACGAGCTTCAGCTAGCGTACGGCTCATAAGGTCTATGTCCCCCAGGGTACTGCCGGAACGTACCCTGGTAACTATCTAGCTGATATGGTTAGGGTTAGGGTTAGGGTTAGTGTTAGAGTTAGGGTTAGGGTTAGGGAGTAAGCGTAGGCAACTCCCTAGACTCGTTAGTGGAGTAGGCGAGGTACGGTCCGGCATATTAGATAGTACCATGGTACGTTCTGGTATACCGGACCGTACCCAGGGTATGTTCAGGCAGTTACTGTACCCTGGGGGACATAGACCCTATCAGCTATAGTACGTATTATCACATTTATCACACTGTGGATGCATTACGCGAGACGTGCGCCTGGGCGCCTGTAACCTAAAGAGTATTTTCGCGCGTTGATAGGTGCCGTGGGTTCCATCCATAGAAATAATAATAAGTATACTCTAAAGGTAATACGTATAGATGTCTCTATATAATTCTGTGGTTCCATCAGCAACCTAATAACTGGTTTCAGCAGTTGGCAGCTAGTTTGTGACGATAGTATGCCCGACTACATGCCCATAGGTTGTTAATCTCGTATTAGGGATGGAGTACGTTCATTGAACAGCTATAGAATAATCTATTAACAGAACATTAAAATGTATTATTAATTTACATTTGGCTTGTCCTGGCACACCATTGTTTATTACTCCTTCGTAGTTATGAAGCACGCCCCCACGTTTCGATGTGAATACTGTTTTTAATGTACACATTGATAATTATCTAAATATACAAATCAGAAATCAGCACAGATAAAACTCTTTAAGCTGCACGGGACACACCCGATCATATAACATATACACAGAGATGTTTATTTGAAACATATACAAAACGGAAATGTTCGGGGTAAAGTCGATATGACGTACAAAGCCATCGCGTGACCAATGCTTTCACACGAAAAAACAAGTAAGATTTATGCTGGCATCGATTAAACGTACAGAAAAACCACCACGAGAGGAGAATAAACCCCTATCACATCGTCTACACGAGGAAATTTGTCTCGGGTTAAGCGTCTATGCGAGATCTTAACTCGGGTTAAGGTGACTCCGTGTAGACGAGGCTTATTATTTGTCACGAACTGTTTCCTCAACAGCTCCCATTGTGGTGCGCATTCTCCGTACCTACACAATTGCCTTCGCATTTGACAGACGCCGACCGTCTACACAAGTAAGAGTAAAAAAAGGAGTCGACGGCACCGCTTAATCATGAGTCGATGCCCTAATTGGGCGTTAATTAATGTTAAGGTGTGTACAAATTAATGATAAATTACACGTTAATCAATGCCTCATTATGCGTTTGTTTAGTCACGTGCCAATGCATAATGATGCAGTTCTGGCTGGAGTTGTGCTCTCTGTCTCAAACTACACGACAGGTGGCGCTCTCGTTCTGGCTCAATTCACCACTGCCACAAGCAGATTTCCGTAAGAATATCTTACGTTTTTTACTATAAGTTTTACAGTACAGTTGAGCCAGAGCGAGACCGCCATCTGTTGTTGAGTTTGTCGCTGTCTGCGCCGAGCACGCTGCAGCGCTACCTAGTGTTCCTGATCGTTGCCGGGTCAACAAAAGAGCATCGCTTGATGAGAAAACTTACTTGACAAAATTATTATGCTAATCGAAGACAGTAATTGGTCTTAGTTTCTTAACATAACCATAGATATAGAATAAAGATCTTTAATCTATATCTATGACATAACACAAAATGTAAAAAAAAGAAACACATAAATCATGTCCGTGGTCGAACAGTGCGCGGCAACAACAGCAGGTCTATGTCTGAGAATGAGCAGGAAGTTTCACACATTTCGTAACACATGAATATTCAACAGTTGTTACCCATGTACAGAAAGGTAGCACTACACTGAAAGGACCAGATAAGATGTGCTATATACCTATCATTCTCACCACATTTACGAGATCTACGAGAATAAGGCGAAGCACTGTATATGTACAGACAAATAACCAGTGCCGCTAGGTTTAACACATTCGAATTCAATAAACCATGTCTATTTAACACCTTCGTAACCTACGAAGATAAACTCGAAAACTCGTGTTTAGAAACTGTCGCACAGGCTTGGTTAGGACTCTAGTAGAATAATGTCGATTTTTAGCAATTAACAGCAACGTAAAACTAGAAACGAGCAGTTGTCGCCAACTACATGTATCCCCCGTGATCTAGTATGAATGGAATAAATGGAATGTAAGGACGTAGAAGGCAGGTAAAGTTAAATAAGTCACAAAGACAAAGGTTTGTTAGACAACTGGTGTGCCTCAGATGTGCAAGTATATGGAATATGGTTACCCTAGGAGGCCGAAGAGGAAATGTAAGTCGACTGTGTGTGTGTGTCTCGTGTACAGCCATGCATTACGCAATTGCCCTGACACCACATGTAAGCAGATGTAGAGATGTGAGGGAGCTGATATCGATGATAAATATTAAACTGATGTAGAGTGGGAGCAGGGTTGAGGATGGGCAACAGTAACCTCCAGGGGGAAGTCCAGGCACACTGAGCTAAAATGCATGTAAAGAGTATGACTTAGATAGGAAGGAGCACTCATATGACATAGAAGACCTTGCTATATGGTTGCCCACTATATATTCTGACATATGACCCTATTATAAAAATATAAGAAATGACATTTCTTACATTCCAAGCATGAGAAAATTCAAACTTGACATTCATTATGGGAAATCTCCTGCAATAGATCAAAGTATGGAGACATCTGCTGCTGACTTACATTACATTTTGCCGCCCCCTTGCACTGTGCACAAGCCTTGCATTCAGCACCGAATGTTCCTTCTGCACAGCACACTGCAAACATTTACGGCAAAATCGTAATTAACGAGAAATCATCACTGCCAAGGAACATGTGCGATATTAAGAAGAAGTCTAAATAAATGTTTCCCGAGTGTACCTTTTTATGTAGTCTGGTATGCACAGGCTTTTAAAACAAAGAATAGGGGAATAGATATGCCATAGAAAGTAACTTCATTATTATTAATGTAGAATTTTACATCTGTCAGTTTGATTTTGTGATAAAATATAATTATGAAAAAGCTGATGACATTATTTCAGGACTTAAAATGTCATACTGTGTCTCATATGTCACGTCAGATGTGACATGTTCACCTTTTTGTATTCATGTGCACATGCACGGTAGATTACATTCACAAATCGTACCTTCCAATTTGTCTATGCACAGCCATTTGTGGAAGTCGGGACTCGAGTCCTGGTTCTTAAACCACCATGTCTCTATCACTGACTCACGGTCTTCAGCAAAATGATGACACTGGTCAGAAATGTATAGTTACATAGATGAAATCAAGATGCACAACAAGGGAGAGGAACAAATGAATTAAAGATGCTTAGGTTCAAATGACCTAATATGACTCCATAGTGACTCCATAGTTTCTACTTCCACATATTATATAACTGTGCAGCGAAATAGATGTGATCGCATCATATTATACCAAGAACCCTGATAATATGTATCCTTGGTAGTCAACCAAATACGTATCTAATACCACAGATATGATATACTTAGGATGCAAATTTAAATATTATTTTAGCTTGAACAATGTTATTTTACTAGGGATTGTGTATGATTGCACTAACCAGTGATTCCTCTGTTTTGTCCAGCTCCTCACATATGGTTTCTAAAATTTCCACCAGGCGCAGTTCGCTGTTCTTGTAGCTCCCCAACTTTAACTCCTCCCAGTGAACATCTCCACCTCCAAAGTTGTACCTGGCTGTTCTTTCCATGCCCTGTAGCAGTGCGGAAGTAAGGGCATACACATAATAAGTATGATACCAGGGCTCGATCCCTCTGGATGTTTTAAGGTTTGATCAGTAGCCCTGGGATACTGAGTAAGAGCCAGTACAAGCAAACTTAGTTCCGTTAGTGCAAAAAGGTGTCTGGGAATTTGGTCAAAGTAAATGTTGGTATATTGAATAAATATTGAATGATGCCTCTGCCACCTTTTAGCTTTAATTTGTGCTTTACTCATGTTTTGTGTCAACGCCTATCAAAAAGCCACCTGATATGATTTCACATAAATAGGCGAGTTATGTGGAAACAAGTAAACTATTGTCAAATCTGTGACTCAATACCAAAACCCGTTTAAAACAAATATTAGCAATAAAATATTTACAAACTTAAACATGCCTTTCTAAATGAGGTCACAAACTGTGAGCATGTCTGACAGGCACCAGGTTTCATCTTGCCATTCCTTCCAGCACTTGCTTTAGCTGCGTCTGACTTTTGAGTAAGACAGAGATAGGCCAGCAATCCAGAGATGCACATCTGCAGTATCACATCGCTCTTCATGATTGTGCAAGTGCCCTGCTGTGTCACCTAAACAAAACGGAAAGAGTAAGATTATAGATGTTTCCATAGCTTTACAGTATTATATGTTTTATAGTTATTATGGTTCATATGTTCTTATAATATTCTAGAAGGAGTAACTGAGTCTGAGCCTGTGTACCATAAGTCACAATGTTGATCAAATACCGACCGGCGGCGGCAATGCGGATTCGAAGGAGTCGTTCCAATTTAGTTTCCAAGCAGTGTTTAAAGAAATTAACTGATATACAAACTTACAAAATCAATTACCTGTAACAAAAAATTATGTCCTATATCTGACGTCTGTACTTCGTTTGCTTTGAATAAAGATTAGTCGGAAGCAATCAAACTTATGCATCTTACACGGGCGCTGACATATTTTATTTCGCAACCAATAGCAATTCGCCACGTCACGACGTCAGCCGTGCCACAGGCCGTACCACAGGCACAGGCCGTAGTATAGGGCCGTAGTATAGGGCCGTAGTATAGGGCCTACCTGTGACAGTATCAACGTTGTCAGAAGGGGGTGTCTATATTCAAGCCGGTACGGGAGATTACGGTACGCATATATTTGCTAATATATTGACTAATCGTGCGTCAATAAACTCAATATTCACAGAGAGTATAGTTAAGACATGTGTCTATAGGTATCAAGAATATATTATGCAAATGATCTCCCGTACCGGCTTGAGTACTCTCTGTGAATATTGAGTTTATTGACGCACGATTAGTCAAATATATGCGCGCGGAAGTGAATTACAGATGATTGAATTTCTAAAATGCTAGATACCTATAGACACATGTCTTAGCTATACTCTCTGTGAATATTGAGTTTATTGATTAGTCAATATATTAGCAAATATATGCGTACCGTCATCTCCCGTACCGGCTTGAAGATATAGACACCCGGCCCCTTGTCACACGCACGCACGCACGCACGCACGCACACACATAATGATATAATATATGAAATGACTCTGAGATTTGTTTCCATACATTTTGGAATTCTGCGTTGACTGCTGTGTGTCCCGTTTTCACAATAAATGAATTCTCCTTAAGAATTTTACGGGTTGGAGATTGATCACGACTACACGACTAAGTTCTGAGCTGGAATCCACAACGACCAGAAGTGGGAGAGTGTTGAAGCAATCAGCAAGGCTGCATCTCTAAAATGACTCTATGAGGATGATTAAAACATTGAAATTAAAACAATGTGTGGAGTTTGTAGTTAAACTGTTCATACCACTGTTCACCGCTCATTTCACGGCATCAATTCGGCCATTTTACATTGACCCTCTTAATTAAGCTCTATGAGAGTGGGGGGGAATAAACATTATAAACAATAAACATACCCGGGTACTGCCGGAACGTAACCCTGAATTAGCGGTCCCGGTATAGCGGAAGGCGTAAGCCCTGATTACGGTCGCGGTATACCCGGAACGTACCCTGATTACGGTCCCGGTATACCGGAACTGTACCGATTACGGTCCGGTGATACCGGAACGTACCCTGATTACGGTCCGGTAACCGAAGCGTACCCTGATTACAGGTCCGTATAGCGCGGAACGTACCTGGTCACTATTTTGATATCGGTTAGGCGCCGGTTAGGGGAAGTAGCCGTAAGGCCGACCTCCCTAGACTCGTTAGTGGAGTAGGTTGAGAGTACGGCTCCGGCGGGGTCCGGCCATAATTAGATAGTAACGAGGAGTACGTTTTCCAGTAACGCGGACCCGTACCCAGGGTACGTCCGAGCAGTACCTGGGGAATATAGATCCCTCTCAGCGTCTCTTAATTATACGTTATGCTTCCATAAGATAAGGTAGGCAGACGATTAAGAGAGAGATTGAAGAGGGCGACGGAGAAAGACGGGAAGGGCGAGAGAGATAGACGGGGAGGGCGAGGGAGAGGGAGAGACGAAGGAGGGTGAGGGAGAGAGACGGGAAGGGCGAGAGAGATAGAGCGGGGAGGCGCGAGGAGAGAGACCGGGAAGGGCGAGAGAGATAGACGGGGTAGGGCGAGGGAGAGAGATGCGGGATAGGGCGAGATGAGATAGACGGGGAGGGCGAGGGAAAGCAGACGGGAAGGGCGAAGAGATAGACGGGGAGGGGAGGGAGAGAGACGCGGGAAGGGCGAGAGAGGATAGACGGGGAGGGCGAGGGAGATAGACGGGGAGGGCGAGGGAGAGAGACGGGAAGGGCCGAGAGAGATAGACGGGGAGCGGGCGAGTGGAGAGAATACGGGAAGGGCGAGATAGAGAGACGGAAGGGCGAGGGAGAGAGAAGGAGAGGCGAGGGAGAGAGAAGAAAGGGCGGCGAGGGAAAAGAGAGCGGAAGGGCGAGAGAGATAGACGGGGAGGGCGAGGAAGAGGACGCAAGGGCGAGAGAGATAGACGGGGAGGGCGAGGGAGATAGACGGGGGGGGGAAGGGCGAGGGAGAGAGAGAGATAGACGGGGAGGGCGAGGAGAGAACGGGAAGGCGAGGGAGAGAGACGAAGAGGCGAGGGAGAAGAGAGAAGGAGAGGGCGAGGGAGAGAGACGGAAGGGCGAGGGATAGAGACGGAAGGGCGAAGGAGAGACGACGGGGAGGGCGAGGGAGAGAGAGGGAAGGGCGAGGGAGAGGACGGAGAGGCGAGGAAAGAGAGACGGAGAAGAGCAAGCGGTGAGAGACAGAGAGGCGAGGGAGAGCGAGACGGAGAGGGCGAGGAGAGAGACGGGTAGCGGCGCAGGAAGAGAGACGGGGAGGGCGAGGGAGAGAGACGGGGAGGCGAGGGAGAGAGACTGGTGCGGCGAGGAGAGAGACGCGAGAGGCGAGGGAGAGAGTCGGAGAGGGCGAAGCGAGAGAGACGGGGAGGGCGAGGGGAGAGAGACGGGAGGGCGAGCGCGGAGAGAGACGCGGAGAGGGCGAGGCTAGAGAGAGGAGACGGCGAGGGAGAGATGGGAAGGGGCGAGGGAGAGAGACGGGGAGGGTAGGCGAAGGGAGGAGAGACGGGAGGGCAGGGGAGATGGGAAGGGCGAGGGAAGAGGACGGGGAGGGCCGGAGGAGAGAGAGAGGAGAGGGCAGGAGAGAGACGGAGAAGAAACCCGACCGACTTCATGTGACACAATGTTACTCGCGCCCCCCCCCCATACACTTACTGTGGATGCCGAGTCCGTATTACCCTGCCCTTTGTATTATCATACTCGGAGACTTCCCGGCTAAAATTATTATCGTAATGCGGAAGGAATACCCAAATCTATGTGCAGCCTTGCCATCCAGTATAGTACGTGCACGAGGGTCGTTGTCGTAATCAGACTACAATATATGCTACCCGAGGTAGTTTAGGTTGTTAGTATTATGTTTATATTTTTATATGAGCGTAGTGTTAAGGGTTAGAGTATCGCTTAGCGCTAGTGTTAGCGGTACACTACTTCTGTAGTACAAGTCTGCGTACACTTTGTGTATCATATTATCAGGAGTAAGATAATATAGGACCTATATTATCTTACTCCTGATATATGTATAGTACCTGATACGACAACGACCCCTTCAGCTGTGCAGATAAGGTCTATGTCCCCCTGACCTCTGTTTGACCTGGCTCGTTTAGCTATTTCTGACTAATATATACATATAATATATATAATTATATATATATATATAATATCAGGAGTAAGATAATATAGAATTATATATAAATTAGAAATTAGAATTCTATATTATCTTACTCCTGATAATATGTAATATATATAGGGTTAGGGTTAGCGTTAGGGTTAGTCAGAAATAGCTACAACGAGCCAGTCAAACAGAGGTGCAGGGGACTAGACCCTACGAGCTTCAGCTAGCGTACGGCTCATAAGGTCTATGTCCCCCAGGGTACTGCCGGAACGTACCCTGGTAACTATCTAGCTGATATGGTTAGGGTTAGGGTTAGGGTTAGTGTTAGAGTTAGGGTTAGGGTTAGGGAGTAAGCGTAGGCAACTCCTAGACTCGTTCGTGGAGTAGGCGAGTACGGCCGGCATATAGATAGTACCATGGTACGTTCTGGTATACCGGACCGTACCAGGGTATGTTCAGGCAGTTACTGTACCCTGGGGGACATAGACCCTATCAGCTATAGTACGTATTATCATTTATCACACTGTGGATGCATTACGCGAGACGTGCGCCCTGGGCGCCTGTAACCTAAAGAGTATTTCGCGCGTTGATAGGTGCCGTGGGTTCCATCCATAGAAATAATAATAAGTTATACTCTAAAGGTAATACGTATAGATGTCTCTATATAATTCTGTGTTCCATCAGCAACCTAATAACTGGTTTCAGCAGTTGGCAGCTAGTTTTGTGACGATAGTATGCCCGACTACATGCCCATAGGTTGTTAATCTCGTATTAGGGATGGAGTACGTTCATGTGAACAGCTATAGAATAATCTATTAACAGAACATTAAAATGTATTATTAATTTACATTTGGCTTGTCCTGGCACACCATATTGTTAATTACTCCTTCGTAGTTATGAAGCACGCCCCCACGTTTCGATGTGAATACTGTTTTAATGTAACACATTGATAATTTCTAAATATACAAATCGAGAAATCAGCACAGATAAACTCTTTTAAGCTGCACGGGACACACCCGATCATATAACATATACACAGAGATGTTATTTGAAAAATACCAAAACGGAAATGTTCGGGGTAAAGTCGATATGACGTACAAAGCCATCGCGTGACCAATGCTTTCACACGAAAAAACAAGTAAGATTTATGCTGGCATCGATTAAACGTACAGAAAAACCAACCAGGAGAGGAGAATAAACCCCTATCACATCGTCTACACGAGGAAAATTTGTCTCGGGTTAAGCGTCTATGCGAGATCTTAACTCGGGTTAAGGTGACTCCGTGAGACGAGGCTTATTATTGTCACGCACTGTTTCCTCAACAGCTCCATTGTGGTGCGCATTCTCCGTACCTACACAATTGCCTTCGCATTTGACAGACGCGCGACCGTCTACACAAGTAAGAGTAAAAAAAGGAGTCGACGGCACGCTTAATCATGAGTCGATGCCCTATGGGCGTTAATTAATGTTAAGGTGTGTACAAATTAATGATAAATTACACGTTAATCAATGCCTCATTATGCGTTTGTTTAGTCACGTGCCAATGCATAATGATGCAGTTCTGGCTGGAGTTGTGCTCTCTCTGTCTCAAACTACACGACAGGTGCGGCTCTCGTTCTGGCTCAATTCACCACTGCCACAAGCAGATTTCCGTAAGAATATCTTACGTTTTTACTATAAGTTTTACAGTACAGTTGAGCAGAAGGGCGAGACCGCCATCTGTTGTTGAGTTTTGTCGCTGTCTGCGCCGAGCACCGCTGCAGCGCTACCTAGTGTTCCTGATCGTTGCCCGGTCACAAAAGAGCATCGCTTGATGAGAAAACTTACTTGACAAAATATTATGCTAATCGAAGACAGTAATTTGGTCTTAGTTTCTTAACATAACCATAGATATAGAATAAAGATCTTTAATCTATAATCTATGACATAACACAAATGGTAAAAAAAGAAAACACATAAATCATGCCGTGGTCGAACAGTGCGCGGCAACAACAGCAGGTCTATGTCTGAGAATGAGCAGGAAGTTTCACACATTTCGTAACACATAGATATTCAACAGTTGTTACCCATGTACAGAAAGGTAGCACTACACTGAAAGGACCAGATAAGATGTGCTATATACCTATCATTCTCACCACATTTACGAGATCTACGAGAAATAAGGCGAAGCACTGTATATTGTACAGACAAATAACCAGTGCCGCTAGGTTTAACAATTCGAATTCAATAAACCATGTCTATTTAACACCTTCGTAACCTACGAAGATAAACTCGAAAACTCGTGTTTAGAAACTGTCGCACAGGCTTGGTTAGGATCCTAGTAGAATAATGTCGATTTTTAGCAATTAACAGCAACGTAAAACTAGAAACGAGCAGTTGTCGCCAACTACATGTATCCCCCGTGATCTAGTATGAATGGAATAAATGGAATGTAAGGACGTAGAAGGCAGGTAAAGTTAAATAAGTCACAAGACAAAGGTTGTTTAGACAACGGTGTGCCTCAGATGTGCAAGTATATGGAATATGGTTACCCTAGGAGGCCGAAGAGGAAATGTAAGTCGAGCGGTGAAGGTCAAACTAAGGTCAAGGCAGTGGTGGTTTTGGTATGCGACAGACCTTTCTCCCCAAGATGTGTAAGCATACCAAGTTTGGTCGCTCTAGGTCAATAGGGGCTGAGTTAGAAGATTGGAAGGGAAATATGATCAAGGTCAAGGTAAAGGTGAAATAAAGGTCGCAGTGACCTGGTGGGCAGTTTTACCGATCTCGGAATGATCTTCAAATTTGGCATGAAGGGCGTTATGGTAAAGCGAAGACGCCAATCGTTTTGGTGTGGGCGGAGTCCAGTTGCCATGTAACAACATTTTTGTGAAATATTGTAGAACCTGTAACTTGTGCTGTTTTTACCCGATTGTCATGGAATTTGGCACACAGGGCCGAATATAACATGTCCTATAATATATATAATATATATATGTATTATATATTATATATATATATTGATGACAATCATAATTAAATATAAATTTTAATACAAATTTAATACAAATATTAAATTTAAATTTTTAATTTAAATTTCAATATAATTTAAATATAAATTTTAATACAAATATAAATTTTATGACAATCGGGTAAAAAGTGCAGAAGTTACAGGTTCTAGAATATTTTGACAAAAAATGTTGTTATCATGGCAACGATGACTGCGCCCACACCAAAAACGATTGGCGTCTTCGCTTTACGATAACGCACCTTCATGCGAAATTTGAAGATGATCCGAGAAGAACTGCAGCCGGTAGAGCGTTCACAAGGAAATCTCTGCGGCGGCGGCGGCGGCGCGCCGATGCCAAACCCATAGTATCCCCACGAACTTCGTTCGGGGGATACAATAAGGGCAGACTATACATGTATTTTTTATCTATTACATTGTATCTATTTCTGTATTTTTTGCGTAGTTTGTGCTCGGTCTATATCTGCTAAATCTATTACAAAAAACCAACCTAAACAAGATTTGTATTTTAAAATTAAATAATACCACATATTATATACATGTTGTATTATTTATCTTGAATGCGATATCCCAGACCTTTCTATAATTCAGATCCTATCTCAATTCTGCATGTTCGGTGGGAATTCACGACAAAATCGCGGAATCAAATTAAAAATCGTTCTTATTACCAATAGATGGCGCTACATGAGCGCAAGTTTACGAGTTCTCTATCTCCACCAACAAATACTGCCACGCTCTTACTTTGTTCGTGTCACTATGCAATCAACGTAACTAGCACACTACCCAAGTACGAGTACATTAATTAATACAAATATGTTAAAAAAAATAACTTTAGCGAAAGACATCTTGTTGGAATAATAAATAAGGCTCCAGTGTCCATGCTAAGCTACACGTGGAAGAGAGAAATGATGGCTGGGAGACAATCAATGCCTCAACATCTCAACATAACATCGCTACATACTTATTACACCATTATGCATTCAAAACTAAAAAACCCTGTTGTTGTATTCAACGCACCAGCCAGTTTCCCCATGTGTTTAGGGACAGCCGTAAATTGTTATATGTTCGTTCAGATAGAAGCCAAACTGCTTCTCATTCCCGTAAGAAACCGCGTAAATGCTGCCAGATATGAAACTAAATTCTCTCCAACGAACCTCAAAATCAAGTGAACGTTACTCTGCATCGCAACCAACATTCCGGTTGTTGTCAGCGATGCGGATTTCACCATAAGGTAAGCACGATGCGTGCTGACCCCCGGTGTGAACAGACGGAGACGATTAGAGAGAGTTGGAGGTGTTCGGAGGCGACAAACGACCTTTGATCTTCTCTCCGACCTTGACAAACTCCGGTTTTCTTCGTTCTTCTTCCTCGATCTTCTGTCTTTCCATCTTGTCCTTGTTTTCATCCTGGATGACAACCAACAAGAAGCCATTACGTATATAATTACGATTTCAGAGTATATATATAAATCATGCTGGATACACGGACGTTTCTGAACTAGAGAGAGTCATACTGTTCATCTTAGGCTTGTTTATCTAAGATCCAACCTGCTGCTGTATGAGCCCATGCTCTATATAGGAGCCGAGTTTACGTTAGACACTCAGATGGATGATACCACCTCCACGTCCATTACATCGTTGATGCATCAAAAGTGAAAACGGCTAGTTTTCAATTGCAGGACGCTCGAGGTTTTGAAACACGACCCCGGACATTCGCCGTCGCCTGATGAGAAAATGTGTCCCCAACCCAAACACTCATCCTGTCCCCTACGTGTTGCACACTGGACATTAACCCTGGATATATCACGTATCATACCAGCGACTTGCTCTGTAACATTCAACCAAGAGTCAATAATAAAAAAATTAGAATTTTTTTAGAATTTTTTTTAGAATTAGAATTTTTTTTAGCAATTTATAAGCAATAATAATTTCTATTATGTACTCTTGATACAACATATGTCACACTCATTGACGTGCACACCACCCCAATATACGCCCCACCCCCCCAACGATGGCCACACTTGGACGCGTGTAGACCTATATGCAGCCCCTCCACAATTACCAGTTGAAGCTGATTGGCTCGTTTCTCCAGCTGCATCTCAAAGCTGGAGCGTTTGGTCATCATCTCCTCCTTCTCCTTTTTCTTGCAGGCCTGCTCCTGTCTCCGGTCCAACTCTTTCTTAAGCTCCGTTTTCTGATTTAGCACGTTAATGCCTCTGTAAAGAAATGCAACTCGGTGTTTATGTGGTCGGAGGCTGGCCCTCATACACACACGCACGCACGCACGCACGCACGCACACGCACACGCACACGCACACGCACACACACACGCACACACACACACACGAACACACAGTATACTCTCTTTCACTCTCGTGTGTTCTGTCTTTCTCTGATGCCCCACCTTTCCCCCACCTTCTCTCGCCCTTTCATCCTCTCCCTATCCTTCTATCTCGCTTTCCTCTACCTCAATTTGCTACGTGGGCCTCTCTCTCTCTCTCTCTCTCTCTCTCTCTCTCTCTCTCTCTCTCTCTCTGTCTCTGTCTCTGTCTCTGTCTC